GAATTGCTGCCATTCTTGCTGTTCCAAGCTCGATGAAACCTCTTCAGAATCCACTAGCTGACATAGTCTCTTCATGGTTGGGGTTCTGGGATCAGCAGTTCAGTTAGAGGGATCCCCAAAGAAACTGTCAGAAGTGATTCTAGACCTGATTCTTGTGTGTGCTTCCCAGTACAGGGTCTGGCACAGTTTGTCACTCCAATCAATTTATGCATATGCTGGTGGTTGCAATTGCTGGGTCATTTCTGTTTCCAGCCCTGTTTTCTATGCAATGGTGGTTGTCTCAGCCTTTGCCTTCGATGCTGTGGCCTAGTATCCCTGGTTCATGCAGACCAGTTGGTGTAAGAGCCTAGTTCAGAATGACCTGTGCTCCAACCTTATTTCTGTTCTTCCTTGTGAGTTAAGGTTTGCTCAGCCCTGCCCAGTCCACCCCACTCCCCTTCCAGTTACAGCCTTACCCACCCCCTACATCCTGTTTTAGGATGCACATTTGGATGCTGCTGCCTTGATCTGCCCAGATTATTGTCAGTTCCTTTACCTGTAAGTGATGACAGGTTCCATGGTCACATATAGCTCAGCCCATCACCACCCCAACTTATAAGCTAACCCACAGGACTTGTATTTCCATAAGGTTGGGCCCACACCCCACCCTACCCCACCTAACCCCCCCAGAATGTACCCCTGCACCTGGTTCTCTCACATGCTGGTTAGTGTCTTGACCCTGCCAAGTGTGATCCGTCCCCCGTTCCACCACTCAGTCAGGTATTGGTACCTAGCCCTGCAAGACAGGCTCCCATCCATAGCTTTATGTGGACTGGTGTGTGGCAGTCAGTGATGCTCTATGCTAACAGCCCATCTCAGGAGTCCCATGTGGGCTGGTGAATCAGTCTGACCCAAATAGATCTTATGGACTCTGCCCTCCAAACCACCAGATCTCCCCATTGCTGGGAGTCATACAGGATTCATCCCTCACCTACATTCACACTGACCTTATCCATGGATGTCCCTAGGCAATTACATACTCTAAAAACCCTAGAGCTTGCCACCGGGCAGCCAGGAGGCAGAGCCTGGTGCCCAGTTGGCGCACTGGCTGCCCAGCAGCCTAGGACTCACTCACTGTGTGGTGACGGTGTCCTTAGGCCAAGTCCCAAGCATTGGGTCCAACCTGGCTGGGGCACCTTTCGCAGCTGCCACACTGCAGAGGGCTCCTTTTGTCCCAGCCCCTTGGCCAAACATTGCCCAGACTCTTCCTGCCACAAGATGGTGGTGGCAGGGCAGAGTCAGGGGCTTAATCCAGTGCCCAGGATTCCCTCATGGCGTACTTATCCTGAGGGAAGATATCTCTCAGGCCTGGGGATGCCTGGGACACACCTAGGTGTCCTTGGGCTGAGTCCCAAGCATTGGGTCCGACCTGGCGCGGGCACCCTTTGCAGCCACATTGCACAGGGCTCCTTTCGTCCAAGCCACCTGGCTGAACCACTCTGTTTTTGCTTTTTTTTTTTTTTAATAACCAAAATGAATTCTTAAAAAAAATTAAATAAGTAGGTTTTTTTTAAAGATTTATCTTATTTTTATTGGAAAGGCGGATATACAGAGAGGAGAGACAGAGAGAAAGATCTTCCGTCCAATGATTCACTCCCCAAGTGAGCGCAATGGCCGATACTATGCCGATCCGAAGTCAGGAGCTCTTCCGGGTCTCCCACGCGGGTGCAGGGTCCCAAAGCCTTGGGCCGTCCTCGACTGCTTTCCCGGGCCACAGGCAGGGAGCTGGATGGGAAGTGGGGCTGCCGGGATAGAACCAGCGCCCATATGGGATCCCGGGCGTGCAAGGCGAGGACCTTAACCACTGTGCCACTGCGCCGGGCCCATAAGTAAGTTTTTAAAAAGAGGGCAGCCACAGTCCTGGTCACCAAATCCAACAAGAAGGAGGGTGCTGATGAAGAGGCTGTGGGGGTGAAGAAGGCCAGAGGGTGTCGAGCACAAGAAGCCAGTGGTGGGGTAGAAGGTTGCCACTGCTGAGAAGCCATTCACTGCCAAGACAAGAAAAGAAGCCTGTTGTGTAAACTCAGATGTGCTTGTTCCAGAGGGTCAGATCTTTTTTGGACAACTTATTTTGAATAAAGGCCTTATCAGAGAGACAAGGAGGGGAAAAAAGAAATGCCTGTCTCCCACCTGTGGTTCATGGATTCAATAAATTTCTGACTCTGGCTCCTGACTCCAGCTTCCTGCTGCAGGAGGCAGTGGGGATGGCTCAGGAATTGGGCTCCTGCCAACATGTAAAGATTCGGATTGAGTTCCAGTGTCGGGATCTGGGAAAGGAACCAATAGTTGAGAGCTCAAATAAAGTCAAAGAAATGCCAAGACTCTAATGTGTGATAACCAGCCAATGTTTTCCCTTATGGGTATGCAAATATGAAATAATAAGTAGTGGGCCCAGGACAGTAGCCTATTAGCTAAAGTCCCCGCCTTGCATGCCACGGGATTCCATATGGACACAGGTTCATGTCCCAGTTGCTCCTTTTCTCATCCAGCTCCCTGCTTGTGGCCTGGGGAAGCAGTAGAGGACAGCCCAAAGCCTTCGGACTCTGCACCTGTGTGGGAGACCCAGAAGAAGCTCCTGGCTCCTGATCGGATCACCTTAGCTCCGGCTGTTGTGGCCACTTGGGGAGTGAATCATTGGAAGGAAGATCTTCATCTCTGTCTCTCCTCCTCTCTGTAAATCTGATGTTTCCAATATAAATAAATAAATCTTTAAAAAGGAAAAAGAAGTAGTGTTTCTAGCTGAGGGATGTGTGTGGGGGGAACCTGGGTGACAGGTGACAACCTAGAAGTTGGCTCAACTGCACAGACAAGCACAAGTACATTTAAAAGGAGGCACTGAAGTGGTCTGGAAGCCATTGCGACCAGAGGTTGTGCAATAGTCCAGTGAGCAGTGAGTGGCCTGATGGTGAACCTATTTTTTTTTTTTTTTGGCTTTTTATCTTTGTGACCTCAGGTAAATTGCCACATGTGCTGCAATTTCCAATTGTAAATAAAAGAATGATGATTTTTATGTGCTGTACAGTGAAAATTAAACTAATGAACACCTGAAAAATGCTTAGAGCAGCACAAAACACATAGTAAATATTCAATCGGTTAGTGTTAGCTTTGGTTGCCCAATTATCTATTCAATATTCCCTTTGTGAAAAAGACTTATTTAGGGCCCGGTGTGGTGGCCCAGCGGCTAACATCTTCACCTTGAATGCACCGGGATTCCAATTGGGCGCCGGTTCTAATCCCGGCAGCTCCATTTCCCATCCAGCTCTCTGCTTGTGGCCTGGGAAAGCAGTCGAGGATGGCCCAAAGCCTTGGGACCCTGCACCCATGTGGGATACCCAGAGGAAGTTCCTGGATCCTGGCTTCAGATTGGCATAGATAGCATCGGCCATTGTGCTCACTTAGGGAGTGAATCATTGGACGGAAGATCTTCCTCTCTGTCTCTCCTCCTCTTTGTATATCTGACTTTCCAATAAATAAATAAATCTTCAAAAAAATAAATAGAAAGACTTATTTATTTTCATTGGAAAGGTAAATTTACAGAGTGGAGACAGATATCCCATCCACTGGTTCACTCCTCAATGACCGTCAATGGCCAGAGCTGAGCTAATCTGAATCCAGAAGCCTGAAGCCTCATTTGGGTCTCCCATGCAGGTGCAGGGTCCCGAAGGCTTTGGTCCATCCTCCACTGCTTTCCCAGGCCATAGCACAGAACTGGATGGGAAACGGAGGAGTCAGGATATGAAGTGTGAACCAGCATCCAAACGGGATACTGTGTTTGGAAGTGGAGGATTAGCCAGTTGAGCCATCAAGCTGGCCCCAACACACCTTCCTTGACACACTTCCCAACTCACACCAGAGCACCTGCTTGGACATCTAGGCACTTGCAAAAGGATGTCACGAGGAAAGGAGGCAGATGATAATGTGACAACCCAGGGCTATGATTGTTCATGTTGAGGAAATCACCAGGCTATGAAAGCCAGGAAAGAATGAACAAGAGAGCATCTTTGTGGAGACAGAGGGTGGAGTTCACCCAAAGCAAGCACAAAGCAAGAGGAGCTGGGAGCATTTCACCTGAAATGCGCTGTGCACCCATCAAATCTGTTTGGTCAAACCAAGCGTTTGACCGTTCTCGGGGTTGGGTGGAAGACAAAGAACAACATGCCGATGACTGACAATGGATGAGGCTTTAAAGGGATAGAATCAGTAAAAACCAAGTTCAGTTCAACGAGGACAGGGGAGGAGTTAGTTGACAAGGGAGCGATCATGTGATGACAGCTGAGTATCAGAAGGATGGCTTAAGTTGGGCATGTGACAACAACGGACTGAGGTCAGGCCCAGAAGAACCTCCAGAGGCGGTGAGCTGAAGCAAGATTGAGAGGGGTTGCAGCCAGAACTAGAAGCAGAGCTCAGAATCATGGACCTACTCAGCTGCTCTTAGGACACCCTTTCTGCACGGGTGCTGAGGACGTCCCAGGCTGGCCACAGGGTTCTCATTCTGGCAGGAATGACAGTTTTGGACACAGGCAGCCTAATCCAACCCAATCCAACCACCTACCTCCCCAAAAGCTCACCTTCCCATACAAGTGGGTCATCCAGCAAACTACTAACCCATCGGACATGAAGTCTGAGGTTAAAAGTCTGAGGTTCTGCCTTGTGGAACTACATGTTGTTCAAACCCCAACAATAGAGACCATAAACAATGACCATTCCAAGAATGCACTCAAAGAATGCTGGCTTCCTGCAGTTTTATAGTTTGTGGTTGGAAGAATTCCGGTTGGCTGTTACTAGAAAATCAGAGACAGAGCTTCGAGTTAAGCTCTCTTGTACTAATTTCAATGATATCTTTTTTCTTCCCCTCCATTAACAATGACTGTGTGACTTGACATTTCAGCAGGGGTTTTCACACTGCTCTCCCTTGGTTGACCCTGGTGATCACTGAATACATAGTAACCACATGATCATACTTAATATTCTGATGGTTTTATTAACAAGTATATAATACATATATTGCATACTGTATATAGTATATGAGGACTGTACAGTACAAATTTATGTTCACAGTTCGACATGACAAAATGTCATTACTGAATTCCCATTGGACTACAGAGTAGAAACAGAGAAGGTACATTAAACATTCACATCTTTAGTAAGAAAGATTACCAAAATGTTTCAGTATCTGCAAGTATACTAACGCATGCTAAAAACCTTTACCCATTCAGTCTTATTAGCTTATAAAATATATTACACTTTATTAAAAATTTCTGCATAGTTTATACAAGTATTAAAGTACTATAAATGTAATAGTCCTGCTACACTTGCAGGTATGGTTTAAGAGATGCTAAGCAGAAAGATTATTTTGACCCTCTAACACTAAGTACATAACATAGGAAAAAAAAGTGCTAGTATCTGTAAAATCATATCTTTGTAGCCCTTGTTTAATGCATGTAAAATGGCTTTGCAAATGTATTAAGTGGATTTGCAATCATTTAGAAAATGTTAACCTTGACCAAGAAGAAAATAAAAACTGAGTAACTTCATGTATGACAGCAATTCCTTCAAGACAACTGTATATTTTCAAGCCAAATCCTTTCAAACTCTTAGATCTTTGAGATTGTCTTTCAAACAATCTACCTCAGGAATGATGTGCAGATATACAGTGTCAGTAATAGTCTTTCCAATTCCACATTAGTGCAATACTGATAGTGCAGATGGATGTTTAATAAAATATACACACATATATATAGTTCCCCTTTAATTCTGTTCCTAGGCTCTCGAAACTTCTGTGTATTTAACATCTCCTTAGCTCAATGTAGCTATGCTGCTAACATATTCTGCAAACCAAATGATTTAGAATGGTTAATGCCCATTTATGCTGTTGCTTCACATTTTGAGACACTACAATCTGATGAATTCGTACTTGTTTCCAACTTCTTCAACATACTTAACTGCAAAAACTCTCTAACAAATAGAATTTATGTGACATCAACTCGTTCACACTATCCTCATCATTTAAAATATTGCAACAGAAATCACCATTGATAGGAACATGGTACACCATTAAACCACATGTACAAGGGCATCTCATCTTGTAGTTGAGGTCTTCCAAAACAACTAAAAGTGACTACAAAACTAAATTTCTCCACTACTACAGCAAAAACACAAAGAGATAAAAGGAAAATTTGTTAAGGGCCAATTGGTCACTAAAACATTGTTGACCAGCATGGGGACAGAGAACTGTCTCTGGACTGCATTCCTTTCAGAGTTAAAACAAATCTGTGTTCACACACTGTTAACATATGCAAGCTTGTGAGAGTGTCTTTGCAGGGTCTTGCTTGCTCTTTTGCAAAAATTTAAGGTCAAAATTTTATACTGAGCATGCACACAACAGACACATCATACCTCATGAGAAGCATGAAGCTTTCTACTCACTGGACTTGGCCTCAAAGCAGATTCAAAGATCAACCTTTCTTGTTCCCCTCTCCACTTCCTTCCAAGCTAGAACACAGACTAGGCATCTCTACCCGGACAAGTTCTTTGCAGTCCAGCTGGATTCTCCACTGTGTGGTGGAAAAGCCATTTCAGGAAATGAACATTTTGGCAGGAACGTGACTAAGCATTTACAATACAGACAATACCTGCTTTTCCAAGAGCCATTTTTATTCCTCAATTCACGTCATAATTGCAGAAAAGGAAAAAAAAAAAGGTCCAATTACAATATTTTCATATTCTAAACAAATTTTGCAGTGCTGAAAAAAAGAAAAAGAATATCAAACCCAAGTGCCACGATAACAATTGCCTTTGCCTCCCTCGACTGTTTCCTTTCAGCTGGTTCCCAGGGTGGACGAACAGGACCTCTTGGGGACTAATGTTCATGAACTCAGCGCCAAAGTAAGCTCTCCTCCTAAGCCACACGCCTCCACAATCACTCGTTCATGGATGTCTGAGCCGAAGCAATGCATTCCTCCCACGTAGGGCTGTGTTGGGTCCTGAGTAATGGCTGGGATGGGTCTTCAGGATTCCATTCTTCTCTCTTCTCCTCCATCCTTTACGGAGGATGAAGGGACATTCCGTTATGTGCACCCACGTATGACCACCATCGCCCACTTTCTTCAAATTTAGGACCAATGGCATCTAGATGTATGAATTAGTTTTATTGGCATTTAGACTGTGGTGCTCAAAAGCCTGCTTTTGAAAAATTTCCCCAAATCATGGTGCTATTCACACTTAACATAAACACGAGTCATTAATTTTTTCTTTCAGTTTATTCTTTGGATAGTGTACTAGATAATAGGAAATTGCTAGCTCCACCAAGGAATTGTTGTGAGTTTTCTGAGCTACAGATATAAATCCATGAACTGTGGTTTTCTATCTTTCAAAAACAAAGATATGTGTGTGCTTCATAATGAATCCTACTTGCAAACAGATACTCAGGCCTTCAGGGAGTGGATCGTTGGAGCGTGAGCAGATGCTTACTTAGGATGTGTGTTATAACCACAGCTGACAGCCGATTTGGCACCTCACAGCTCACCGAGCAGAGTTACTGCAGCCAAACTAGGTGATTAATTTGATATGGGACTACAAGTACCACTTAACATTCCCCTGTTTGAAAACAAAACAAAACAAAACAAAACATAATATAACAAAACAAAAACCGAAAAACAAACCCAGAAAACCAGCTATGGGCAGGTGGGGTAGCGGAGGGAGAGAAAAGACTCGCTTAGCCCCAAGTTTTTTCACTATTACTGAACAAGTACCTCTGCAGAGGCCCTGTTACCCATGCTGTCTGATCCATGAGGCCATGGCAGGAATACAGACAGCCTCAAGGACAACACCTCTGCAGCCTAGCTTTGCTGCACGCCTCTGCAGACCTGAGGGTGCAAGGACCTAAGCCGCAGACTGCAGCACACACAGCAAGAGCGGAAACCTGGTTGATAACCCCAATGCTGGGGGAGGAACTGTCGCCTGCCTCCTTCGTGCCCCACCTTCTGCCACTCCACACTACAGAAGCACAGCATCCATCCCTTGAACTGCTACTGTGTCAGCCACCTAAGTCAGCAGCTCTGGCTCATCTCCCCACAGTAGCAGAGGACTCCATCTGAGCTGTAGGCACAGTCAGGCCAAGAACTCGCTCGGGTACAGCAGTCACTCCAGGCCGACCAGTGGGATTTGTGGGAAGGACACAGGAAGTGCTGACTGCCACTGGTTCTGACACTGTGCTGCACTGTAGCTATTTGGTGCAGGGGCTCGCCCCTCTTGGTGTGGCCGGGGCCTCCAGTGTGAACACAGGGGCGCAGGACTGCGAAGTCTCTGGCAAGGATTATCAGGCTGCATACTGTGTTTCTAACACGTTTACTTTGATATTCTTTTGAGGCATACATGGACAAACTGACAACTGCATGTGCTAGTTTACATGTTCCCTTGTTCTCATGACATTAAACGTGTCTGTAAGAAGGGTTTGCTTAGCATCCCCAGGAAAAAAAAAGTGTTCACATTCTTTAGGTCTGACCCGTGGTAAGGAGAAGGGAGCATTAGAGAGGATCTACTACTGACCGTACGGAAGTTTTGAATGATACAAATTCAAAGATTCAGGCCAGCTGAATCCAAATTAAAATGTACACGTAAAAAATGAGTTAGACGATGGGCGGGAGGACAGAAGAGAACCAGGAGAGTGGGCGTGGGGCTGTGGTGGGAGGCAGAGGCCTTCAGACCAGCATGTGGCGCTTCCTGTGGAGGGCCAGGTGGTCAGAACGGGAGAAGCTGCGGTCACAGTCTGGACACTGGAACGGTTTGATGCCAGTGTGTTTGCGGAAATGTCTTGTCAGTTCATCAGACCGAGCAAACTTCCACGTGCACCCTTCCCATGTACATTTGTAGGGCTTTTCTCCTGTAGAAGAGATGGGGGGACAGGGGTCAAGGTTCATGAGCAGACACGCAACCCTTGTTACTGCCCAGACAAGGTTACCTGTTTGCCCCTCATTGCCAAAGCATTTTGTAGACCATTACAACACAAGTACGAGGCAAGGAACCCGACACAAGGAATTCTGACCTGTAACTGGATGACTGTAAAGACTGCAAAGCGTCAAGGCAACAAAAGCCATCTGACCACTAGTACTCAACAAGCGCAGGTGACTGGTTTCAGCTGTACATGTCCAAGTGCTAAGCTAACCTGGGAGCTTCATTACCTGCAAAGCTCCAAAGTCACACCTAAGTTTGTGAGAGTATTTTTTCTATGTTGTTTAAAAAAATCTGAGGCTCTATCAACCAAAATAGCTGCTAACGAGTTCAATGTCCTGTTTTCTTATTTATTCAACAGCAATTATGATGAAGCATAATGCTTTAACTCAGAGATCCTAACAGTACAATTAATTAAAAATGTGATAATCCCCAGTACCCCACCCCCTTCATGGCCAGAAGCCAGGTTTCAATAGCTTCTTCCTTTAGGATCTTGGGATAAGCATCACTAATGGGTGAGGGGTGGAAGGCTCTTTGGGAAAATGACAGGTCTCAGCAGTGAGAAGCAGCTTACAAATTAAATAGCTGTTCCTAGCCATTACACACAGCTATTATATTATTAAATTAGTGATAATGGATATCACAAATTAATTCCTATTTAATACACTGTTCTCTAGAAACCTTGTGAGACTGCCACACTCCTTGGCATTTTGATGTGATATTCAGGATTAATAAATGTTTTGCTGCACACAATATGCACGCAGAGACATTTTTTCCTATATCTGAACTGCCATTCAAATATTTCTTGGTGTTTAGATTTTAGGTACCACGTTGGTTAACAAGCCCCTCCCAAGTTTCTCTGAGCCCCTGGGGAAAGCGGCACGGATGGTATGGGCACCACGGCCTGGACGTTCCATGGGGTGAGTGTCCTCTGCCTGTTGGCCGAGGCTCCCTGAAGCTCTCCACTTCCACACTGCCAGTCATTTCCCCGTGTTTTTTTCTTCCATGTCCTACATACTCTCTGTAAATACAGTCAGGGATTACACTGGGCCTACTCTGACTTCTTACAAATCATCATCTGAAACCTCATTCTTTAGAAGCGACAGAGACACCTGCAGGTGAGCCAGAGCCCTCCCTCCCACCCCTCTTTAGGTTTTGAGGGTAGGGGGCGTTTCCCACACCTGTGTGTGTCCTTCTGTGGGCTTTCAAGTGGGAGCTCTTTGTGTACACTTTGTTGCACCCGTCATAATCACATCTGTGTATCCTCCGCTTCCTCTGTGTGTCTGGAGATTCCACAGGTAAAGGTCTCTTGCCAGGCTGCACTATGACCGAAGGGTGATTCCTGTGAAATCCAAGGATAAACATGAAAGGTTGAGAGAAGGTTCTTCCTTTGCAGCTGTCTACTAAAAGCATCCACAACATTGTGCAGAGACAAACAAACAAACAAAACCCGACACAATAAACCAAAAGAAATGGCTGACTGACCCAAGAAGCACTGCTATATCCGTCTGACAAACATTGAGTGAGCACCTACCATGAGCCAGGCACTGGGCTTGGCACCGGCACACAAAGATGAATAAAAACAGGGTTCCTGCCCTCGGGGAGCTCACACTCTAGGGGGAGACAGACAGGGAAATGAATAACGGCAGCAAGAAGGGTTGGGGAGCAATGCTGGCTGGAGGTATCTGGCACCGGAACAGGCTCCTTCCTGCCAGGCGCACCTGCTTGCCCACAGAGCCCTGAGGAGCCAGGCAGTGCTGATCCCAGCTTCTCACAGATGGCCCTTATGGGCACTGTGGTTCCCCAGGGGTGACGAGATAGGAAGTGTCAACATTTCCCCCTTTACATCAACTGGTATTTTGCCTGTCAAGACAGCCAGCACACATCTGACGCTCAACCAGGGTGAGGTTCTGTTAAAACCTGGCCCTGTTGGCGTCACAGATGCAAACGTTAGGGGCACTGCCATTATGCAGGAGGGAGAATTTCAGTGTAGCATTTGATGGCCAGGTGAGGAAGGCCAGCACCCACAATGGCTACAAAGTGGTCCAGCTGTCCCCCAAGGAGCCCGTCTTTTTTCCCACATCCTGACTTCTCTCACATCCCTGAGTTTGCATGTCCTTTCCAGATGGATGTCAAATCAAATCCTGCTTCAGCATCCTACTAGCAAATTTTTCAGAAAGGAAGGTGGTGGAGAGAAAAGGTAGATGGGCAATGGTTGTGAAAAGTCTGGAAAGTTTGCTCAGGTTCCCCTGCTGGTTAATGTTAGCCATCAGAAAGTCTACATCTGCTCAGCCACGCTCTGAGAGACCTGGTACATTACAATCACACGTGGCCGGCCTCCAGGGAAAAAATTTCTTTTCAGTTTGCACCTGCAGCTCCTAAGATGTCCCAAACAGGAAGTAAAGTTTTTATACAAGTGTGTATGGAAAGAAATACAAGTTCAGTGATAAAAGCGATGAGGGCAAATACTCAAGCTGGTGAGATGCCAGAAATCAGGAGAGTTCTGAACAGGAAGCTCATTTTTTGTCTTGGTAAATCTGGGAGCACAGGCCCCTTGACAGCAACCTTTCCAGGCAGGCTCTGAAATCAACTAGGGAAAGAGTATAAGCTGTGCCTTGGTGGCCTTATTTCTGGCACTTGTCACGCTGGCAAAGAAAGCTGCTACCTGCACTGTTCTGATCTTCCTGCCCTGATGTCCCACCGGGCGTACACAGGCTAAAAACAGCTGGGGCAGGATCCATGGAAAGCAAATGTGAACTTGAGCGAGGAAAAAGATAAAAGAAAAAGACTTCAGTTCATGCCTAGATAAAGCAGAGACAAGAGAGGTTTATAGACAAAAATAAAAACTGAGGCACAACTATTCAATTCTACAACTAAATGTCATCCAATGGAGAAGTTCCATTGTCGCTGAGGGAACTTTAGAAGTGCTGGGAAGACTTGGGCTTTGGGGATGCCGAGTGTCTGCCTCAGACAATGTCACAAACTTCCAGGGCAGGTTTTAATGGGGTTGCAAAGCTACCAGTAATGAACTGTTGCTTTTTCCAGCTGTTTAACTTCACATATGACACCCTGGTACACTGCAAGGCTGTGGCATCCAACCTTAATCTCCTGGGGCGGGAGCAATGTTGTAAGCTGCTGCCTGCAATGCTGGCATCTCACACGCAATGCTTAGGATGCCAGTTCAAGTCCTGGCTACCCACTTTCAAGCCAGCTCCCTGCTAATGGCCTGGGAAAGCAGAGGACAACGGGTCCTTGGGTCCCTGCACCCACATGGGAGACCCAGATGAAGCTCTTGGCTCCTGATTTCGGCCAGGCTCAGCTGCAGACATTTGGAAAGTGAACAAGGGGATGGAAGATTTCTCTTTGCCTAACCCCCTGTAATTTTGCCTTTCAAATGAAAATAAAATAAATCTTGAAAAAAAAAATCCAGTTCTGCCTGGATCACCTCTGTTAACTCTGGGCAAGGTACCACCTACTCTTTGTAAAATGGAGATATTGATAAAATTTTTACCTAGTTCTTTCAAGGTCCCCAGGGGACATGTACACAAATCCCTTGAGAGTAATAATAATAGCTGTGAATGCTTTCAGATTCAGAAGTGACTTTACCCATCTGGAGCAATTCATCCCAGTTGTTGATGTCTCAAGAAGCTTTTGGGGTGACATCCAAAAATCCAATCAGGAAATATCCACTCCAGCTAGGACCCAACTGGAAAGGCAGCCATGTGTCAGAAGGGCCTGATGCTGCAGCCTGCCTCAGTTAGGGCCTGTGGGAACTCAGCACTATGTGGGCTTTCCATTCGTCATTTCACTACTCAAGAGGGAAGACGGATCCTCTGGCTTTTTGTTCCAAACACACACTTCACACGTGCAAAGATGCAATGAAGGGGGTCAGACACCCCCATGAGTGTCCCTAACAGTAGTTCTAGAGCAGTAACTACGATCAAGCCCATGGATTTTATAGCTGTATTGTAAAGTTGGCTCCTCGAAGGGAAGGGTTTGCGAAGGCAAACACTCCTGCGGCTGCCTCACCGCAGCGGCGCCTGGCGTCGGTGACTGCCGGCTACAAGGTTTCCTCTGTGGGCTGCTACTGGGCCCACTCCAAGACATGACTTAATCACATCTGTGGGAGAAATGTCCACGTCCCAGCTGTGGCTGAGGCGCAGACTGCATTCTCAATTCTTGGGTAAGATGAAAAGCAGCACATCACTCATTCATCACTGAAAGACCCTGAGCTGAGATCATTGGCACACGGAACAGGCAAGAAAGAAAAGTGCTTTCTTCCAGCAGGGATCGCAGCGCCTTCCAGCACCCTCCTGTCTCGAGCTGGCATTGCCCTCAGCTTTGGAACGCTCCCCGTTCCACCAACAGCCCCTTCCCTGTGCAGGGGCCTGCCTGTAACTGACAGCATCCTTTTCCTTACGTGGATGGGAGCAATGAGCAGAGCATCTCATGTGGCCAGGTACCTTGTCAGAGACACCATCATCAAAAGGACTTCCAGCCTGCACGATGTGCCACTCGTGCTTAGTCACTCTGCTGCTCCCGCATCTGCGTAGAGTATGGGAGCCTACAGCAAGATCACAGCAGGAGCTGCGATCCGCAGCAAGGACAGAGTGGTTCGTGACCTGCTGCCCGACGTTGGGCTCGCTGGCTCTCTAACTGCACAACTTAACTTCCCACACATGTCTCTTACAGGCCCAAGAAAGAATTCCTATGAAAACACTTGGCAAAGAGGGGATGAAGCCATGTCTTGTGGTGGAAGCCAACGTATCAACTCATCCCAGACCCTTTATCTCTCGGCTGACATGACTGGGAAAGAGAATGCACCCTCTTCTTCATCCACCAGGGAGTATAAGACGATGAAGGAAGAACACGATTAGGATTTGGCACAGCAAAAAGTAAATGTTCGCATGATAGCGGCACCTATCTGAGCTGTGACCAGGAGAAGAACATACTGGAAAGTACTAGAAGACACAGGGCTCAAAAACCAGAGAATTTACTCTGCTGTGGCTCACAGAGCGGTGAGCAAGATCAGCCGGAAAGGCGGGCAGCGCATCTGTTCAAGACAGAAAACAGGTGACATGGGAAGGCACCTGTGGGGACAGGAAGCTGCTGAGTCCCCTGCTGAAGCACCACGACAGACAAAATTACTCCGCCATCAACAATGACCACCAATAAAGATGGCCTGCGGTGTCACCACTGGGAGACGGCAGGGATGGCCACAGTGGCCAACCCTACAAACAATGTGACTGGACCCCAGTGCGGCAACATGCTATCAGGCCAGTGATCCTAAAATGAACTGCACAGAGGCAGCGCCATCTCCCTACCGGCAGGCCCCTGCACAGGAGACAGAATACTCTAGGAGCACATGAGATGAAAAAGAGAGAAAATAAAGAGTTCTGTTGCCACCAAGCTTCTCCATGCTCCAGGGTCAGCTTCTGTTGCCACCGCTATTGACACAACTTGTTTTGGAGTTTCTTTCTCGGGCTGGTGGTTAGTCTATGAATTCTGATTAGAGACATTCTCTGTAGTAAAAATCATATACTTGACTAGAAGTGCCAGCTGGGGACATGAGATGTGCCCAGATGAAAAAGCTGAGGCCCAAGTTTCAGAGGAATATCTAGAATATGAAATTCAATCTACGCCAGGACTCTAGTGATGGGAAAACTGCTTATACATAGCCTGGAAGGGAAAAAAGAATATTTCTGCAGTAGGGTGCAGCAGCCATGTGGGTTGAATAACTGATGGGAAACTCCGTGCAACTGGTGATGATAAACACTGGCCGTGACAGAGAGCACGGTGTCCTTGGAGGGCTTCTCCCATGCCGGTCAGTGATCCCGCACAGCACATCACCTATGGGAAATCGCAGTCCATGCTGGGTCCCCAGATGCAGGCTAGCTAGCTACGGTGTAAATGCCGGGTGACCTAGGTATACTTACTCTTGCAACAAGGCTTGCGGGGGGGACACTGAGTTCATTAAAGGGGGTGACATTTCTTCAGGATAATAATCTGTCCTCTGTGGTTCGATCCCGGGTTCTATTTTAATTTTTTTCTGTAATATGGGCTTCTCATATGATTCAATTACAGGTACTGAAAAAAGAGAAGAATGGAAAGTCAGTCTGTGCATCATCTACCCATGTCAGCTTCTTTTTTAATTAATTTATTTATTTTTATTGCAAAGTCAGATATACAGAAAGGAGGAGAGACAGACAGGAAGATCTTCTGTCCACTGATTTATTCCCCAAGAGGCTGCACTGGCCAGAGCTGAGCCGGTCCAAAGCCAAGAGCCCAGAGCCTCTTCTTCTGGGTCTCCCACACAGGTGCAGGGTCCCAAGGCTCCAGGTTATCCTCGACTGCTTTCCCAGGCCACAAGCAGGGAGCTGGATGTGAAGTGGGGCCACTGAGATTAGAACTGGCGCCCTATGAGATCTTGGCACGTTCAAGGTAAGGACGTTAGGCGCTGGACTACTGCACTGGGCCCCCATTTAAACTTTTAAGAGTTGCCTGCAACCAGCTCCTAGTCTCAGTACTAATGTATGTGAGTACTGATTTACAGTTAGCAAATTTGTAACAACAACAAAAAGGAGGTGCAGGGTTGGAAAAGACTGTTTTACCTAATCACTTTTGTGCCAGCACGCAGCAACATCTCCAAAGTGATTCTCACCCATGGCTTCGTCTAGGACTAGCTGGTACACAAAGCTGCTTTTAATTATTACCATGATCAAAAAGTATTTATTAAATGCCTTCTGTACCTAGAACCCCGTTGGCATTGCATAAGACAAAACATAAAGATCGTTACTCTGCCAAAGTCGATGTAAAATTACACAGGGAAAGTAATTATCTCACGGGTACCAGACAGACTGCCCGATGTTCGGGAGCTCTTCCAATATCAACACTTCAACTGAATAAAAAGGAAATGCCTGAGGCAGATGAGTTTTTCCTTTTAGGAGTTCAGCAGCTTTGCTCCTGCATTCCCTCACAGTACACTGGCAGGGCACAGGCTTCCAGGCAGGTGCAGTGCATGGTTCCGTGTGCAGGGGAAGGCAGGTCGGAATTTACCTTGCATGCTACTGTTGGAGTTTTCCATCTCCTCTGACAAGGAGACCATGAGCGGCTGCTGGAGGTGACTTGTGTACATGAAGGGGACGGGCTGCACCACGACAGGCTGGATGACGGGCAGGATTCCTGGGCTCCGGATCCCGTGCCGGGAGAGGGCAGCCGCCATCACTGGCGGCATGGACAGCGGCACACCGAAGGGCTGCACGCCGGGGGAAGGCGGCGAGTATTTTTTCATGGGTGGGCTGGAGGAGGGCATGCTCAGTCCGGGTGAGGCTCTGCGGTGTGAGGACGGGAACTTGAGGGAGGACGGAGAGCTCCCAGGTGGTGCAGGCGGCGAGCTCCGCTTGTTCACCGTGAGGTCCACCGGCTCCATCTGGATCCCGTGTGACAGGCCTTCTGGGGGCTGAAAGAACTTATCAGGCAATGGTGTCGAGTAAATGACCCCATACTTGTTGGGCTTCATCGACTCCATGTAATTAGACGGGTAGGACTAGTGGGAAGGAAGAAATAAACACTTGTCAGCTGCCAAATAAGGATATTTGCTGGAAACACAAAACAAAGACAAAAAGCTACACAACAAAGCTCTTTCAATCAAACGGGCCTGAAAAAGCAGTTCAAATTTAAGTAGATAAGGGAACTTGAAAAAGTTCATGGTAGCACGGAATGAAAATGTCATTTTCTTGTGTGTACAATTGTTTTTGCCATGCACATTCCCCACCAGCTCTCTGAATACTCTTTTAGGGTTCCAGCCATCCTGGGTTACTGGGTTAGCCCTCTACGTCTCCCACCCCCAGGGAGTTCCTTAGCTGCAACCTGGGATGGTTGGTCACCCTAGGGATACACCTTAGTACCCGAGGCCACCTCTGGCATCAGTATGTCCCAGTCTTTAACATCCAGGATTTGGAGGCAATACTCAGGGTGCAACCAAGAAAACCTGCCCCTGGGAGCATTTATGCATCAATAGCATAAATGTACTAATAATTTCTGAGCCACACACACATATACACTCCTTGACCCTTCTGCGGCCACTATTGTGAGGTGTGAATAACTGAAGGGTGGCAGTGGCTGGCACACCAATGACACCCCACACTATGCTCCAGGTGCAGGAGAACCAGCCATGCTGGCAACCCTGCAGAGGACTCCTGAGGTTAGAAGAGTCAGCAGTCCAGCCGTCTTTATCTCAAGCCGCGGTCTGCTGTCCCTTCAGCTCTGTGCTCTTCCCTGCTCCTTCTCTTTATCCGGATCACCATAAGCCCGCCTGACCTCCCAGGCCAGTGCTGCTGGGCCTGACCTGGGAGAGAGCTCAGATGCTTAATGGTGGGACACCACAGACACCCTGTGCTTCCACACAGTTATGTGCTTAGCTGAATGTGTAAGGAAAAGGGCTAATTGTTTTTTAGTAGCGACAAAGATGCCTTTAAAATAAATATGTTAAAACAAATCTAATTCTACAACAGATAAGAAAATCAGTAAACAGCTCAGGTGCCCATGAGGATGGAGCGAGGACTATCAAGGTGGCACTGTGTGTTCCCCGCAGGAGAGTGTGAGGTGAAAATTAAAATTGGATTCGATGAGATAACCCCTGTAACGTGCTTAACGCAGGGCCAAACATGCTGTCCCGGCAGTCCTTTCTTGCAGGACAGACACCGTGTCGCGGCTTCTGCTCCGCCCATCAACTGCACAGTCCACCGAGTTCCCCTGGGGCTGGAGCAGGTGGCCCACAGCCTGCTTTCTGGACTGCCAGGCTCTAAGTGACATCACATGGAACAGAAAGACCAAAGTTTGGGGGCGGGGGGGAGGCGGGGAGCGGAGGTGTGGGTTCACTGACCCTACTCAGATCAACAAACACATCAATTATTTATTTATTTTAAAATCTTCTGAGTTACGTATCAAGGATGGAATTAAGGAACAACTATGTTCCATACCTTAAGAACCGGGTACATTGAGTACAACGCAAGGGAAGAGGTCCAAGTCATGTGCCAACATTAACAGTGCCTGTTTTTAAATATCAATACTGAGGGCCTGGTGCGATGGCTCGATCGGCTAATTCTCCACTTACAAGTACTGGCACGCCATGTGGGCGCTAGTTCGTGTCCTGGCTGCACCACTTCCTACCCAGCTCCCTGCTTGTGGCCTGGGAAAGCAATGGAGGATGGCCCCAAAGCTTTGCGACTTGCCCCCGCGTGGGAGACCTGGAAGAAGCTCCCGGCTCTTGGCTTAGGATCGGCTCAGCTCTCGCCATTTGGGAAGTGAATTAGTGGGTGAAAAATCTTTGTCTCTCCTAAGAACTCTGTATCCCTGCACTTCCAATTATAATAAGAAAATGTTGATATTGAGACTGTCATTACTAAAAGACGTATAAATTTCATTCTATTCTAAATGAAGGACAATGAGTTTCAGGAAGTGATTAAAAGACGGAGAAGAATTTGCCTCCTGATGTTAAAGTTCAATATGCTTTACATCATTCTTTAAAATAGTGGAAAGCTCTGGGACCAGCAAAAAAAAGCAAAGAAAGCATCAGGAGTGGGAGGCAGGAATATTTCTTCCAACCCAGTGCAGCTTCGCCCTTAATTTCAGCCCAGTCTTCCAAGACCTCCCTGTGACCTAGATTTTCAAGTCAGTACATACTGGCAGCTGAACAGGAAGCAGGACGCGGGCGGGGTTGCACTGCTGCCCCTGCTGGATTTCTCTCCCTGTGGGGCAGGTGCAAGGAGGGCAGAGCTTTAGAACCTGAGAGATCTGCAAATTCAGTCCCGGTCTCCGCTCTGCCTGCCACAGCAGTTCAGAGTCACGGGGGATCTGCTGTCAAACAGGGGACCCGATCTGGGACACAGACACCCCCCCATTCCCAAGGATGTCATTACCCACTTGCAGTTGGATCACCTTCTGAAGGGGTGATGAACCGTGCTCCCTCCAACAGGCTCATCGGCTGCTTTCACAGGAATGTTTTCCAGTACCTTCTAGAGGACTGGATTCTTTAATTATCTGGGTGGAGCACTAAAGCTATTGCAATCAACCTGCAACGCTATGGCTTTCCACAGGGAAGGACCGATACAGGCAGGTTCGGATCAGGGTGTGTCTGAGGGGCTACACCCCGTAACAGCTGTTTCCCCTCTGGCCCAGGCCATCGTTATCTTCCGGTGAGCAGGTGTGGCTGTGCCTGGTGCAAACCAAAGGCAAGTGTGCGTGAAGCAAACACTGTACCTACCTCTGGCCCGGAAGGACATCCAGTGTGCCCAGTACATGTCCCTGTCCCTGTGTCCTGGGCTGGAGCTGTCCAAACAGAAGGCATGGGCACGGGTCTGCCCCTCCTGGAGCGCTCCACCAGGGCTGGGGAGAAGAGTGTACTTTGCCAAACCATCTGTTGCCACAGTGAGTTCTTTCCGTGGGTCGGGGACACGCACGCCTCGGCTCGCATCTGCTGGAATGTGAGCCGAGGGCCTGGCACAGGTGCTTGATAAATACTTGATGAGTGCCTGAAGGGAATTTATTCTCTCTCTCTCTCTCTCTCTCTCTCTCTCTCTCGGGGCAAGCTTTTACCACCCATGGGCCCACAGGCAACACACTGCTCCTTGAACTCCTGAAAACAGGCTTTCCTCATTCCGGGGGCACAGGGCAGACCTCCGTAAAGCTACAAATACAGCTTCAAATAAATCCAAGTGGGCCCTTCCCTAAGCTTCTTACTTAATTAGGAAAGCGTTGCAGTTAGCTGCCCATCACAAGACAGTGTCTGTGGGTGCTGTAGACTGAAACGTGGATGAAGGCTATTTCACTCTTCATCAACACAGGGGAAGAGAAAGCACATGTGGCGGGGTGAGTACAAGGAACCTTGATCCCCAGGGTGGGGTCTCCAGTTCCAAGGGCGTGGTGCACACGCGCGGGCGCACACACAGACACGCATGTGCGTGTGTGAATCAAAGGCACGCCCGACACAAACACAAGGGGACAGTTCTGTTCCTGCCTGCCCTGGAAAAAGTCACACAGAAAGCAGAGGAACATGTAATCTTACAGAGTTAGAAGAATGACTTTTAAAAATGTGGTGCTCCTGTGTGTGTGTGTTTTTAAAGGATTTATTTATTTGTTAAATTTGAGAGGCAGATTTTTACAGAGAAAGATCTAGCTGCTGGTTCACTCCCCAAATGGCCACATTGGCCAAAGCTGAGCAGATCCAAAGTGGAGCACCGGGAGCTTCTTCTTGGCCTCGGGTGCCCAAGGCCTTGAGCCATCTTCCGCTGCCTTTCCCAGGCCACAAGCAGGGAGCAGGAAGCGGAGTGGCTGGGACACAAAGCAGCACCAGAAGAGGATGACAGTGCCTGCATGTGGAGGATTGACCTTCTATACCACTGCACCCGGTGTCTTTTTTTCTTTTTTTTTTTTTTTTTACAATTTGTTTTCTTTCTTACCTAGTGACTTGAATCCTTTAATTTTCAACCTTTATTGAAATGGCTAAAAACAATTTCTTCACAAGTACACCTCCTGCACATTTTGTATTTAAAAAAAAAATGAAAAAGACAAAAAAAGGATTTGCGAAGGTGACTCAGGGAACAGGTTGGGCTGAATTCGCCAAAGCTGGGCAGACCGGAAGCAGCAAGCCCGAACCTCAAAATGCAGGGTCTCTCAGAGAGGAGGGTTCACTCGCCAGTGGGCATGAGGCTGTGTCACAGGCTTAAAGCCTAAGCAGAACCAGCAGGTGGCTCCTCCCTGCTGCTGTGCTGGGAAGAGAGGGGACCCCGGATCATCCCCCGGTTCACCATTACTGCCACGTGGTATTTAAAGAAACACGTGCTCACGCCCAATACCCACACTGCCTTGGAGTAGCCTTTGACTTTCAGGTCAAAGATTGATGGGAAAAAATTAACAGGTCCCCACCCGCTCACCATGGAGACAGGAAAGATGAAGTGCAGGGACCGCAGAGCGAACACAAAAGCTTTACTTTTCGAAGGTGAAAGCAGCACAGCTCCCTGCCCCGATATCCCAGCTAACAGAGAACCTCGATCCTTCTGGAAGCTAACTTCCACCGAAGGCTGATTAAATTCTCCAGGCATCGACGGGAGACCAGGGCATGAAGGAGAGCAGACTAAGCATCAAAACGGGTGTCTATGTGTTTTAGCTTCGTGTATTCACACGAGCTCCATTATGGCCAGTTTAACAGTTACTTCCAGTTCATTTTAGTTCCCGTTTTTTCCAGTTAAGTGCATCCCTCCACACTTCATTATTATCAAGCCAACTTAGCAATGCGGGTCTTCATCTGGGCTTCAATAAGGCTCCAGAGTCCTATTTTCACGCTTGATGAAAAGTGCTCGGGGTATATCGCATGCTGAAATGCATCCCAGAGGGTTCTGCATCATTTAGAAAATTAATCACATTCTCTGGGACCAAAAAACCCATTCATAATTCAGGGATATAGTTAATGGAGAAAGTTTATACCTTAATTTTCCTCCAATGTGATCAGGCAGTAGCTGGGAGAATGACAGCTCTGAATTAACAGTAGAGGTAACTTTACTTTTCTGATGAAGAAAATTTCCACTGCCTGGTGATGCTCTTGCAGGCATTCGGTTATCCAGCTAAATGCTAGAAGGGCAGCGCTGCTTCCTCCAAGCCACTCTGACTTTGTTTTTTTCATTATTGACTATGATGCACACAGCACTGGCTTAGGAGTGCCCTTGGCAAGTTGGTTCTGGGGCCCCTGGCATGACCTCTGCTGTGACCCCTGGTCTTGCATGAGCACTGTTGGCAGGCAGGCATGCGCACAACCCTTGTGGCAGGCTGATCTCAGCTTGCAAGCGTGCCATCAGATACATAGCCCAGGCCAAGGGCTTCTTCCCCTTGGGAGTATTTGTTCCAAGGTTGTGCAAGCAAGGAACAAGATGGAACGGGAATGGAGCTTTGATAGCCAGTCTTCGGTAAGCCAGGCCTCCTCACGTTCAAGCTGTTTGCTCACTTGTCTGCTGCATCCAAGCCAGGCACTGCTGGGGTGACCACGGCCCTGTGCTGTTTGTACACAACCCCCGAGGGAGGGGTCTACAAGCAGAAGAGCTGGCTGAGACCAAGGGCGTTTGCTGACCGGGACAACACACTCCATCTCCACGCAGCCACAGATGCCTCCAAGATTCCACCCGCACCAAGTCCTTTCCCTCGCTGGATTCCCGTCGTCCCTCATCTGCTCCTAGCTCCTCATGCGCTTCTGAATGTATTTCCCCGACGACTGGACCAAAGAGTTTTTCCTAGGCCTCCCTGGGGGTTATGACCCGACTTATCTGGGGTTGAGGAGGACTAGGCTGGCTCTTCCAGGGCGTGCCCGGGTCCTGGGCTGAAGGAAGCCACAGGTGCCACTTAGAAGGGATGCCTGACTACAGGTTGTGTTTACCTCAATTCCTTAGGAGGGGTGCTGGGAAGCACTGGCCTCACCAACGCCTGGCAAACCATGAATCATGTGAAGGAAAAACGCAGCACACACATACACACACCCACATTCATGTTATTATCATGTGGAAGACTTACCACCGAGACAGGGTCCATGGCCTCTTGCTTGACAGGGACCGGGTCAAACATGAGCATTCTTTTTGTGAGACTTTCTAGGGTGCTCTGGTGCTTGGTCTGAAAAATAAAACCAAGTGTCTACTTAAATCCCGAGCTTCCTATAAATGTAAACCACACTAACCAAAACACACCTCACCTCCCTCCTGTACCCCCTTCTCTCCTGCCCTGCCACGGGATGGCTGGAATTCATCTCCTTTACCTATAAACGATTCTATTCTATAGCATTACAACTTGACTAGAGCCCAGCAGCCCCCGGGACTGCAGTGTGCCAACCCATACACAGCCCCCTGGGGCTCCCCTGGAGCATGGTGCAGGCTGGGGACTGTCACGGCCTTGGGCAGTGCAACCGCACAGCTGTTCAGGACCTCTGCTTAACAGCCACATCTTGGGTTCTGGACCAAAGAGTCAAACCCAAAGAAAACCCGCACCACGTGTCACCCCGCCTAGCTTTGTATCACACCAGGCCTGTTCTTTCTAAATAGCAGTACAGCATCCACACTACTGAGAAGCGACCCTGTCACTTGGTTTGGGGTGAAAATCCATCTTTCGCAGTAAGCCTGGCCCACCTTAGCACATCATGGTAACAAATAGGATCAGTCTACTTAACCATCACCCCGCCCATACCCTTTTTCTGGGCACTTTGATTGCTTATAAACTTTCCCAGGGACAAGCAGCAGTAGGCTCATTTCTCCCTACACGCCCTTCACCCAACTTTTAGGATAACTTCTCCTGAAGTGGAATCCTTAGGTGAGCAGCTTGTACTCTTTCCCAAAGCATTTGACGCACCTTCCGATATAAACAGCCCATGATTTTCACTAATAAAATAGAATGTTTCCCAAACATGTCTACCAGCAATGGACTTTAGCACTTAAAAAATAAAGTACACTTGGCCAAGTGTGTAATCCTCAAATGGGCAAATTGTTTTTAATTGTGCATTAATTTTTTATGTTTCTTCTTCTGAGATAAGCCTACTGAGGTCTTGAGCCACTCATGCCCTCTCTTACTGTTCTGCAAGCACTTCATACACATGAGGAATCCTGGAGGGTTTCCAAAGCAGGTGCTCCGTGTCAGAACTCAGCCTAGGGACAGGACAGGCCCAGGTCAGCACTGTCTTGTCCTTCTATACTGGTGCTGTTTTATCAGACCATTTTCTCTTGGAGTCTACACAAATATTCTGCCTGCTCACCCATACTGCACAGAGCCGGCCAAGCCACTGAAAGCGTCTTCAGGCGCTTGCTAGCCTTTGGGTACCTGCTGCTTTGGTTCCGGGTACGTCTTTACCAACCGCACTGTTTTATAAAGTCAAACGAACAAATCCTACAGTGAGTTCTAGCAAAAACGACCCAAGCCCCAGGCTCTGCATCACTTCCTGTGCTTCACTATTAAAACTCCGTACCCGCCTCTCCACCCTGGGCATCCTCTGTGCAGGACACCTGCTCTTCACAGGAGTGCACAGGAGCTTGGCAGGAGTGCTGTGTGCCTGGAGTGCTTCACTAAATGTGGAAGACTGTCCCTTCAGGCTCTCATGGCAACCCACGAATCCCATCAGCATCCCAACATGACACCTGCTGGCATCACAGGATGTGCTAAAACCTGCATACATACTGACTGGAGAGAAGGTGGCTCAGTCTCCTGTGGGGTCAGCAGGACACACACCAGCAGCCAGGGGAAAAGGCGCAATTGCCTAAGGAGGCTTGAAAACGCCTTTGTGTCCTGGGGTCCCAGGCTAGCAGCTGCACAGCCCATGCGAGGTTGTGCTGGGCTCCCCAGTGGACCATAAACACAAATGTGAGATGCCCTGCTTCCTTCAGTGAGGCCAGCCAGTCAGCAACCATGACCCAAGTGAAGTTGGCCACCTCATGGGCAGCACCCCCTAACAACACCCTGCTTCCCCACTTCCACCTGCAGCTCTGTAAACTGAACTCACTTGGAGGGATGCATCCACTGCACTAGGCAGTAGTTTGTGGTAAAGGCTTCCCCATAAAGGTACCAGCTTCCCAGACCTATCAGAAAAGACTCAACATCCTCTCTTCTGTCCCTACCACTTGGCAAGGTTTAGGATGACCAAGGGTCAAGACTTAAAAATGGAGCAAAACAACAACAGTTGCTTTGGACAGGCGTGCACACCACATTTGGCTATACATTTCTGTGCACACAACACAACCCCTCAGAGCAATGCCTGGCCTTTGCCTCTCTGCCAGGCCTTGGCTGCCGACCCCCTCACTCACCCCTACAAGGAAGTTGAGACCAAGAAGCAGGGTGTAACCCTAACAGCTGCCTGCATTCTGTCCAGACCCCAATGGGCTCGGCCATTCCAAACTGTGCAGCCTCAGCACCGGCCTAGCAACTTGCACCCTGGGCTACTCTGCACCCTTTCCAGCACAGCATAAACAATTGAGATAATGGGTTCTAGATCTGGTTTGGGTTCAAATTCTGCCCCCTCCCTCTCCCCTATTGCAGATAGAGGAGCTTATTTGGGAAGAGACCAGGTAAGCAGAGCTGGAAGAGGGAAGCGCAAAAGTACCTCCTGAGGGAAAGCGGGTCGGAAGCAGAGGTAGACACTGCTGCATTCAAATTCTCACTGCGCCTCTGGGCTCGTCCAGCCGTCAGTGGCTCTGGCTATTGTCTAGTAAGAGCTCCCGAAGCCATTTAGAAGTGAATGACCATGAACCCGTGCTCTTTCTGTGTTCAGACATTACAAATTGCTTTGTTCTCTTTTTCTCGTGATAATTACTTAAGTTTAAGGAAATAGGTGCTTTGCAAGGTATGTAACTCTAAGACAGTGTAGTCAAAACGAGCCCTAATAAAATCTTAGTTTTGATTCAGAAAGACTAGTGAAGCTATGTTTATTTGTTCAGAACTGCACCGCAAAGTCATTCAAATGTTGACAAAGGATTTTTCTCATTATAGGAGTGTTTCAGGGACCAGCATCACGGTGCACCCCATACTGGATGGCTGGTTCTAGCCCAAACCACTCCACTTGGGCTGCAGGCTCCTTGCCCCAGGGAAGGCAGTGGAAGGCAGCTGGTGCTTGGGCCCCTGCGTCCACCCCGGAGCCTGGGCTGGAGTTCCCGGCTCCTGACTTGTGGCCATCTGGGAAGCGACTTTCTCTCTCTTCTCCATTACCCAATTTCCTTTGTCCTCTCTTTCAAATGAATCTTAAAAACAAACAAAAAACAAGCATTTCAGCTAACAAATGAAGAATAACAGAATTAGAACACCTCATTTGTAAAACCACACTCTCAGACAACAGGAAGTCTTTGCAAAACCCCCAAGACCAACAGCACTGGGGTACTAGTTTGGAAGCCCCCTTACTAGTATAAGTGATGATACTTTTACTGGCAGTCCTGGGATATGAAAACAAAGCATAAGCAATGAAAAAAAAAAGTCTAGAAAGATCTGCCCCAGATCCCTGGGAGTGGCTGAAGTGGGTGTGGGAGGGTGTGCCAGCCTCAGCCCCATACACACCTGTGCCTTCCCTTCTCAGTTTTATTAATTCTAGGATTACAGCCTTTAATAAGAACCAGGACAAGAGAGAAGCTGAGACGGCAAAGAGGTAGATTTAGAAGCAGAAGTAAATACACCAACATAAAGTAGGCTGCTGCTCACTGCCTCACAATTTTCCCACCCGGCCCATGCTTGCCATGGACACTTTGTTTATGAGCTCGGGTTTAAAAAACAACTGCAACGTTCTCCGCAGAGTGCCTTCCTTATAACTGCGGAAGCAACTCAGGCACCAGAACAAGGAGGGTCCTTTCACTCAGTGTGCAGACAACATGATCTACAAGGTTAAACCCGCAGGACACTGTAGCCCATCTGTTTCTGTTCCAAGGGCCTGCTGGCAATCCTGAGCGACACCAGTAGGTGGCGCAACGAAAGCAGGAATGGCCGGCCTGGGCACAGACCACGAACGGAGCTGGTCCATGGACTCAGGGTCTTGAAACCCAATTTTCACCGGACACAGGGATTCTGTCAACCCCCCCGGGCGGGCAGCGTGGGGAACAGCAGCCAGCAAAGGTGGGTCTTTCACTGATGTATTCGTTCTTCCTACTTCCAATCCTAAACATTCCCATCCTGGCGATAGTTAACCCGTGGAGCAGGAATGCTGAACAAAGCTATCCCATAACAAGCCTACCAAGTAAAGGGGACAGAGGGGAGCAAAACTGTTGAAAACAGACAACCTTCCACTCTCAAAGAGCTTCAGACATAAAGAGCAGGACCATCACCACTGCCAAAAGAACATCCCACAACTTGAAGCAGCTACCCCACCACGATGTGACGTAGCTGGGAAAGGACCCCCTCCCATACACACACCTAATCTGAATTTTCAAGAAGGAAGACACAGGCTTCCCGTCCCGACTCCAGAGTGGACCCCCGCTTTTCTCAGACATCAAAATTGGGGTGGGATTCCTGTCAGAATTCAGAGCAGCACGCTTACTTAAGGTTCTGTGAATCATTGCATACTTGGGAAGCCAGGAGGGTCGGGCTGGGGAGCCTGGTGGGGCCACCGCTCACACCAAGTCAGGGAGGGTCCCAGGGGCAGGGGGCAGGGCGGGGCACCTCTCCCTTAACAGCCCCAACTGCACCTCACCCCGCCTCAGATCCTCAGGAGGTCCCTTGCCTAGCCCCAGCCTGGCTGCAGCCTCAGGCTCCAGGTTGGCAACAGCCAGCTGGCCCCAGCACCCACCAGCAAGTACTCCCGCAACTCCCCAAGGGCTGGGAGCCTTCAAAGAAGGGCATGTCACTCACCCCCTCTACACACACACACTGCACAGGAAATCAGGGAAAGTGTGTGTGTATGTGTGTGTGGCCAGCCCCAAAGGCCACCTGGCTTCCTCTCTCCACACACACACACACACACACACACACTCTCTCTCTCTCTCTCTTCACTCCGGTCTCCAAATTCTTCCCAAGCTCCTGGAGGCATGCAGGAAGATTTCCCGCAGAACCCTTGCTTCCCCCCTCCCCAGGCCAGTGGAAAACAGGCCTTGGATCTTGAGTGGGCATTTTTAAGTCGCCGGTTCCTTTAAGAGAAGCCGTGTCTCTATGCCACCGAGTCCCACCTACCTCAATCCTTGGTGGCCGACCGGAAAAGGAAAAAAGTCCACCGACTATTGCCAGGTCTTTGCCCCTCATAGAGTTGCTAGCTTGGCATGGGCAGTGTTTTTGTGAGGGGCAGAGCAGGCAGGGAGTTACTCTGCCTGGGATGAAATGGACCGAGCAGGCGAGCAAACACTCCGCCCTCCCTGCGAACAAGCCACCCCGTTTTACTTTCCGGCCTCCACCCATCTGCTCCACCCCATGGAGTGCGGCCAAGGCAAGTCCAACTTGTCCAAACAGGACATGGCTTCAGATAAGATTCTGCCCACACCCTGTACTTCGGAAAGACCGAGTGAAGCAATTGATTTTGCATGTAAATAAGGACAGGTGCAAAGGTAACAACACAGCGAAATCTCTCCGCCCCGCCAGGCTGGGGCAGCCTGAGGTCCACTCTCAATCCAATGCTACCTGCTGAGCCCCATCGCACCCTCTTCAGGGCTCAGCCAGCAGCACCCCCCACAGCACTGGCCCCAGGTGGTGTGGGGCTGCACACCTGTTTCCCGTCTTGAGGTGCCGGGACAATCTGGCATTGCAGCGTGAAGGGCGGGCAAGCAACCGGGTAGAAACTGGAAGGCACCCGCCCCGCCTACCATGGCCGTGCCTGGGCCCCGGCCGGGCTCCTCTGTGAAGCGTTATATAATCAATTCCAGAGAGGCCACCGGCTTCTCACCCGCCTCTGGCTGCTCGCTCGGTGCCCTCCCTATCGCTGGAGACCCACCCAGCTCCACCCGTCCTCCAGCCTGCCTGCCCGCCCTCCCTCCCGCCCTCGGGGGCCTCCACCCATGGGGCCCCACCCTTGGAGGGAGTGGGAGGCTGGGAGGGCCCGCCTGGCTCCTGGCAGCAGCCAGTTCCTGGAAATTCCGGCCTGAACAGGGGTGGCAAGAACCTTAAAAATAACCAGAAAGAATGGGCCTGGGCTGGTGGTGGGTTCCTCAGCCTTCTGCACGGGGGGCCAGTCTGCGAGCGCCACAAACCCCTGAGCTCAGACTGCCCGCTCCCTTCAAAAGTAAACAAAAAGAAACAGAGGCGTTTTGAGCCCCTGCTATTCCCACTGGCCTCAGCCCCTGCCGGCTCCAGCGCCTCTCAAAGGCTGCCCTGTCCCCACCTCCCCTCGGCCATTCACCATGGAAACCCAGAGGTCATCTTAGGGGACCTCCTCACCTTTTCTTCCTTGCCACAGGGGCCAGGCCCTCCAGCGCCTCTCCCCTCTTGCCCATTTCTTGGGGCTTGGCCCTCCCTAGCCTCCTCACTCTCTTGTCACCTGCAACCCCACCCTTCTCTCACCTCTTGGTCCTGGGGATACCCAGGCCTACAGGGCGGCTCAGGTTCCCCGGCCCCCTGGGCCCCCCGCTGTCCCCCACTTCTCTGGATGGGCAGTTGCCCCCAGCTCCAACAAGTGCCCTTCCTGCTGGCGGCCTCGTGCCCCCTCCCCACCCCGTGCCTTTGTTCATTTTTGGCCCTGATGCTGGGCAACCAGCCGTGGAATGCCCCCCTCCCCTTCCGGCTTATCTAAATCCTCCTAATTCTTCAAAGAGTGGCTCGGGCCCCTCCCCGTTCTGGGGCAGCTGCCTCTGCTTACCTAGCCACACCGGGTCTTCCCTCTTTCCCACCGCCAGGATTGGGGGCACGTGAAGGGCAGCGAGATAGCCTCACCCTTCCCTTCTGCAGGGGGCCCCCTTCCAACACTGGTGCTGAGCCCCCTGCGGTCCTGCCCCTATCCTCTCCCTCGCCCTTCCACGAGACCTGGGGGCACGAGAAGGAAACCTAGGGCACAAAACGTCAAGTTTTCGCTCCAGTGTTAACCTTGCCAGTCACACGTAGGTCCTTCAGACCTTATCTGTGACAACCTTGCAGAAACTAGTGCATCCCCCAGCCCAGCCTGCGTGGTCTTCCAAACAAGTCAACGTCTCACCTCTGTTTAAAAAAAGGAAAGGAAGGAGGGAGAAGTGGGGAAGGTGTGTGTGTGTGTGTGCACGCACATGCATGCAGGGGCCATTACTAAGTTTTCTGAAAAGGACACTTGCAAGCACTGACAGTACTGGGTGCTGTACTCAACTAGTCTGTGTCATTTCACACCTATGAGGAAGCTAGCGCCTTCTTGAGAACACTGCAACAGAGAGGTTCAGTAGCCTACTGCAGACCACACAGCTGCTAAGCTGCAGAGCTAAGATCTGAACTTGACTGCTTAGCCAGACTTCAAGGCAGCTGGCCTGGGCACTCCACTCAGGCCCTCTCCTTGAAGTCAATACCACAACACCAACAGAACCAGGAGGGATAGCAATGGCAGCGAACAGACTGGTCCCGGGGGCTACTGAACATAGGGTTAGGCTCCTGAGCACAGAGGCAACCTTAATTCCTCCCACCGGGGTGCCCCCACAGCCTACCCTCGCTTGGACGTAAGATCAAAAGACACACTCCGAAGGTCCCCCCCCCCATGAAGCTATATCCCTCCCAGCCAGTGCACCTGCAACTGGTCCATAAAACTGCGGAGAAAAATTGGCAGCTTTACCCAAGTAAATACGGAAATCCTCATAATAACTGTACAAAGGTGGAAGGGTCAGGTCCTCATCCCAGTTTAGAAATGAGGAAATGGAGGCGCAGGGGTGAAATGACATGCCCCAGTGCGCAAAGCTGCCTGGAGCCACAGCCAAGGACAGAGGGGGCTGCCTGCAGGGCCAGAGCTCACTCTGCTTTGCTGTGCCTCCTCCTGGGGTCAGTCCCTTGGCCCTGACCAGGAGTGTGTGCTCTGGTGGGCACTTATGACCTCCAAACGGCATTGCAGGTTGGATTACTGCAGACCTACCTGCTGCATCCTGTGGCATAACCTAACATGATGATTGCACATTATTTCAGATTAGCTCTAATGAGTAGGTGTTCCATAAATACTTGCGAGATGAATAAATGAATGCATGTCAAACTACACTTCTCACACGCACTGATAAACCCAAGGGGCTGAGGCCTGACTGCAGACTGGCTATACCACACAGACAACCTGTCTGGGGGCTCCGTGAGGTCACAGCCTGAAAAAAACGACGGACACGTGAAAACTCTGGTGGGGGGTGGGGGTGGTGACTTTTGTTTGGAGACCTAATGAAACAGGAAGTTGGTCTTACTATGGAGAGTTGGGAGCAGGAAGCTCTGGAAGGCCCCTCCCCCTCCGCCCTCGGAATAAAGGGAGAGAGGAGATACAGAAGTGGCCTGTGGTGATTAGATGCAAAAAGCGGCAGCAGTAGGGAGAACAGCACCAGGGCCCAGGGGCTGGAGGAGCCCAAGGCGGCACCTGACCCTGAGAGCAGGTCGCTCTCCAGGGTACAACACGCTGACCTCAACATCCACTTCAGCTCTCCAGTCTGCATCTGGCCAGTTTCCACTGATCTGCGTTGAGGCTAGCCCAGGACCAGCCCTGGCAGCATCCCCAAGCAAGCCTTCCAGAGATTGGCAGCCACGCTGAGTGTGTCCCAAAGGAAGCTGAGCTCTTCAGGCACTCATCCAGCTCCCTGCCGCCACTCCAAGCCTAAGCTAGAACCAGCATCTCTCAAGTACATGGGCTAGACAGCCATGGAACGAACTTGCTGCCGCCCCCCCCCCCCAAACTGAAGAAAATGGTAATATATTCAGCCTACTGATACAATGGAGTAAGTTTCAAAAACCTCCAAGAGCTTGTTTTGCTACTGCAAGAACTTTATTAGCAATACTCTGCCCGTGCTCTCTTCGGTAGCACATACACTAAAATTGGAACCAATACTGTGACCAAGACATGCAAGGCATACAGGTGACTTTTTCAAAGGTTGCATTGAAGATGCTAACATGCTAGGATCAGCATCCGACCAGCTCACAGTATGTGTGTGCGCGCGCGCACTGGGGGGGAGGCAGGAACAGGCCTGGTCTTGGTTCAGAAATTGTGTCTAAAGCACTGTGCCTCTTTGATGACTACTACATTTCAAGGAAGGAGTTGTGGGGGGTAGGGAGGGCGAGCGGGGCTACCTCCTTTAGACAATGCTGTCCCTTATCAGGGCAGACTGCTGTCTGGTTTCCTGTCTCAAGCTCCAGTCAGACTGCTTAAGATGAGAAGCAGGGTCTGAGAGAAGCACAGAGCAGGGTGGAAACGAGAAAGCTGAAGACCAATAGAGCCCTTCCCACTACACTTACTCCAAAAAGAATTTCGACTAGCATATCCACCACTGCTGCTGTAGGAGGTTGGGGATTTGGTTCCCACCTCCCAAAAAAGCTAGAACCAATGACAAATAAAGCATCCCAGAAAACCAGCCACGAGAACAGTGCAATTCCTAGTACTTTAAGGATATGGTTTGGTTATTCTTCTTTATTCCCTTCTTAGACACAACTGGGCATCAAAGCAGAAGAAATGCTGTGTAAGAAAACTGTTATTTTGTAGAAAAAAAAGTTTTGTTGTTAATATTAAGAGGGCCAGTATCTTAATGGGGGAATGGAGATGCAATGGGATTAAATGAGGGCTGGTGATTTACAAGAGGAAATTTTTCATCCCATTTTATGATAGAAATTGTTGAATAGCCTCATTTTTGACTATTTTAGCTTAGTACTGAAGAACCTGTAGATTTTTTTTTTTCCTGATAGAACGTTAACAGGTCCTAATCTCTCTTAACCACTTCTCTCCCCACCACAGAAAGGACAGTCAAGAAAGACACTGACTGTTACGAACTCTGCAGCACCAGGACTTCAGTTGGCCTGACTTAGGAACTTCAGCCTTCGAGGCCTCCCATCCTTCAAGTTAGCTTCAGTAGGTCCAGTGGCCGGTTCCAAGTGGAAAGGACAAAAATCTTCCCAAAGTGTCCATCTTTTGTCAAGGAAGATGATCAATGCTTTGATCCTTGTAATTTTGTTAGCATCAGTTTGATGCTTCCATTTGACACATGAAGAATAAGGTGAGATAGGAACTTTACAACCAGAAGGGTTTTCATCCTTGGCTTTGAGGAGCCCGATTTGCTCCCTCAGCAACTGAGTTAATTCCCCTAGGGAACACTATAGCTAATTCCTGCAGAGCCCAAGATACGGAAATCTTACTCTAAGAAGTTTTCAAAAGACACTTGTCAAAAGGTCCTCCCCCCAAAAAAAATGAAAGAAGAAAAAAAAAAAAAGCATTTGCCTTCTGTTCTTAAAGTACAAAGTTAAACATTTTCCAAAGTATCATGAAATGAATTTCTTATGGCTGGTTCTCCCGTGGAGCTTTTTCTTTAAGATGGTTTGGAAATCACTATAATAGAGTAAAATCTCTATCTTTAAAAAAAAAAAAAAATGAGCGGGGTGTTTAAATCTTTGTCCTTTCAAAGAAACAATACTGGGATTTTCTAAAAATATCTTCTGCCTCTCCCCAGCCATTTTTCTCAAGATTTCTTCTGCAAAACATAAACAGAACTTGCAGCAC